ACTAAGTAACCAGGGTTTCCTTGGAGACAGAACAGGGGGTCACATAGTCGTGAGCTATGCCCTATCCGTCTTGCCCTGACTGAGTTGATTGAAAGGCCCTAGGCCAATCTTGTAAGCCCTTTTAACATAAGATCATGGTGCCCTTTCCCTGCTTCTGTAGTTCCATCTACAATTTTGATGTCTTGATCTGCCCCCAACCATGAATTTAGAGAAAGAGGTTTCAGTAGAAAGTGATGCAGGCAGTGGGTCCAGCAAAGCAGGCTGTCTTGCTGGCGTCCCACGTGGTCAGAATCCATGGAGCTAAGGATTGTGACCCTGGGGCGCATATCTGGGGCCCTGGGAAGTCAGGCACTTTTGCGGGTGCCCTACTACTCAAGTCCCAGGATGACCACAAGCTGTGAACACTGATCAGATGAAACAAGAAGAGCAGCATGTGTTGTTGCTGCTCCTTCCATGTCTTTTAAAAAAATCAACCATGATTTTTTATTGTAAATGAGGTAGGAGTTTATGTGTCAGGTCATCAACTTTGTATTCAACAGTGTGGTTTTTCTCCTCCCTCTTGGGGACCACTGCTTTCCATTTTGCCCACGTTCACTGTGGGAAACAGAAGGACTTCTCCCAAGTTGTCTCCCCCAAATATATGCCAGACTTAGCTGCTTGAGAATGACTATACACTTGGAGGTCATCAGGAGTATATTAGAGGTCATTCTCCTTAAGAGCTCTCAGACATCTGGAACAAGTAAACACCACTGTTTAACCCACAAGTAGGGCCCACTCCCTTCTGATAAGGATAGTAGTTGTCTGTTTTCTTGCAGGAGACCCCAGAGAGGTCAAACCCGCCCAAGGATGACCAAGGTTAGGCTGCCATTATGAATCTAGGGTCCGCCCATCTTGTCACATGTATACCCCTAGACCTTCCCATTCCTATGGGCACACCCCTAGCTCATCCCCTTCCTGGTACGCTTATGCCTGTCATAGATCCCCTTCTTACAACGTGTATGCCTATTGTACAACCCCTTCCTGTGACGTATGTCTGCCTGCAATTAGGGGGCTTGCCCGTCCCCAGATAGGATAAAAGCTTGGGAAGCATTAAAGTTTGGGGCGCTTTCTCCACGTGGACCACCAAGCGGGGCTGAGGTGAGCAATGCTACCATGAATTGTGTCTGACTCCATTACTTCATGTTTTAACTCTCGTCCTATGACTTTACTATAATCTTTACTTATTATCACTGTGCAATTGCACCTACCGGACCTGTGATGATTTGTGGGCCCCCTCTCCTCTTCAAGCCCACAGTTCACACCCATCAACAGTCTAGCCCACCACCTGCTTCATCTTCCCTCGTTTGCCCTCACCCTTCGGCAATCTCCCAAGCCCGTTCTTGGTCTGGAGGTGTCTTGTCTTGTTTGGAGACCATCAGATGCTCTGGAGGAGAAAGAGGGAACTCTCTACTCCTGTTCCAGTCTTACACTCACAGGGGCTCTAGGCTCCCGAAAGCCAGCATCGACTTAATGGCAGTGAGTTAGAGTGGGGTCTGTTTGCTTCATAACGCTCTTTGTGCTCTTGTGATTGGCTAGTTTCACACAGGATACTGTTCTGCTCCGCGGGTTCATGCATGCCAGAGGCCCTTTGTGGTTCCGTCCATGTTTTTTAGGGGTACAAAACAGCCCTTGTATGCAGACACCAGAGTTTCTGTTTCCAGTCTCTACTGGTGGGCGTTTAGGTTGTTTCCATTTTCTTGCTATTGAGAGCAGTGCTGCGATGAACATCGGTGTGCATTCCTCTGTTCGGGTACCACTCTTCTTTCCGCAAGCTGTGTGCCCAGCACAGGGAGTGCTGGACCATAAGGCATTCCTCGCCATCCCTGTCTCTAAGGAGCACCCTGGCCTTCTTCCAAGACAGAGTGGCTTGTCCTTTTGGCAGTCCGTGGTACTTTCGATATCTTCTCCAGCACCACAATTCAAATGCACCGATTCTTCTAAGGTTTTCCTTATTCAATGTCCAACTTTCACATGCATATGATGCAGTAGAGAATGCCATGGCTTGGGTCAGCTGCACCTTGGTCCTCAAAGTGTGGGAGGTAGAAGGGTTTTTCCCCACGTTGTCCCCCAAATACACGCCCAACCTAAGAAGCTGCTTGCTACACATGGTAAATGACTGTACACTTCGAGTTAATGCAAGCTACTTAGAGGTATTTTCCCTGAGGGTAATCAGCCGTCTAGAGAAATCAGACTCTAGTCTGTCCCACCCTAAGTAGGGCCCACTCCCTTCTGATAAGGATATTGTATTATCTCCCTGAAGGATAGCCTGAAGACAAGGTTGAGCCAACTCAAGGAGGACCAAGGTTAGGCTGCATCTTGAATCTAGGGTCCGCCCATTTTGTCACATGTGTGCCCTTGGTGCCAACACCTTCCGATTGCGTGTACACCCCTAGCTTGTCCCACTCCAATTGATGCATACCTATTGTGCAACTCTTTCCATTGTGATGTAATCAGGGGGACTTGCACATCTCCCGAAAGTGTATATATACAGTGATTGGAGATACACTCGGGCCCTTCCCTCTCTCTGCTCAGACCAGGCTGCTGAGATAATGGCCCTCTGGGAGGTGAGCAATTGCACGCCTTATATTGTCTGATGTCTCTTTAATTTTACCCTTCAATTACACAACCGCCCCTTGGATCCATTCGATTGTGGGGGCCAGTACCCCACACTCAAAGTAACATCCTCCTTGCTCTTCAGTACTTTAAAGAGGTCTTGAACAGTAGAATTTTACTTTTAATGTCCGTCAGTTTTACTTTTCCTCCCTTTTTCCAGCCACTCAGACCAA